TATTTGTATACATGCATATATGTGTAAATAACAACAGAAAACAAACTGTTAGATAGCTAATATTCTTTGGCAAAGTCATTCAGATAAAGTACTCATGAAATTGTTTCATGGCATACAAAGTTTTGTTTATTTGATGTTTTAAGTGGGTAACAGTGATAGATTATATTTGTGTCTTTTAAAGTTGTGAGGCTGTAAACATCTTTGAGAAATTACCACAGGAATAAAGTCTGAGGCTTTTTAAAGAGAGTATGTTTTTGAAAAGATTAAATTCTTTAAAGCAAAACAGAAGCAAATCTACAATATTAGAATAATTAATCCACAAAATACTAATTAATTCCTAAAAACTACTGTTGATCATTAGTACCACCACAAAATTAAAATAGACACATGCTGAATCCCTGAAGACTTATTGAGTGCTGTAAGAGGTATGTTAAGTTGACAACTTTTAACCATTTTCTCATCCAACATCTGGTGGGCTCCCAAGTGAAGTCCAAGGTTACCACTAGATGGTCTGAAACAGTGACTAAACTCAGAGAGTGGTGCTGGGAAGTTTAGCTTCAGGCACTCTCCATCCCCTGACTGAACAAGAGCTAACCTGCTTTCCTCAGTAGAGAATTCCTGGTGTAGCCCAAGAGCGTTCAGAAGGTAGTTGTTTAACTAACAGGATGTATCAATGCGAAATATGTTTGTGCTTTTCCCTGCAGCTTTCATTTTCCCCCTTCTTCTCATGAATCTTTACCCTCTTCTCTAGTAAATATGCAGCATGCTTAACTCCATCTCAGTATTTAGTTTCAGAAGAGAAAATTTGATAATGTATTATTTTATGTATAATCTTAACTTCCTTTAGATATGATGGTATAGAAGTTTGAAATGTGTAAGTAGTAATAATACAGAGTGTTTGACAACAGGTAACTTCTAGCCTGGTGCAATTTTTGACACCAACAGTGATTTTCATGGAGTTAAAAGAAGTTAACTACTAGACAGAGAAACACATAGCTATTTACATGATCAGGTATCAAGGATTTGACCCTAGACCTTGTTGTTTATAAAAAATCATGTTGTTGTTTTCCATGCCTCTTGAGTGTTGCTAATTTTCCCTTTGCAATGTGAAACAACTTGAACATCCTGCTTCTGAGAGTACTATGTAGAATTAATTTTAAAATGAATGCGTATAAAATTAGCCTATGAAACCCATATTGTGTGGGAAAACTAGAAGATCACATCTCTGGTTAACATGGCTATACAGGTCAGTTTTTAATCTGGACACAACCTGGAGTCACTTTGGAAGAGGAAACCTCAATTGACAAATTGCCTCTAGCAGATTGGCTTGTGGGGATATCGCTGGTGCATTTTGTTCATTAATGATGGATATGGAATGGCCCAGCCTACTGTGGGTAGTGTCTTACCTGGGCAGGTGGTACTGGCCTATATAAGAAGGCAAATTGAGGAAGCTATGGGGAACAAGCCATCAGGAATCATTCCTCCATGGGTCTGTCTCAGTTCCTATATCCTGGTTCCTGATCTGAGCTCATCCTGTCTTCCTTTGCTAATAGATGGTAACCTGTAATCAGAAATAAACCTTTTCTTCCCCAAGTTGCTTTTGGTCAGTGTTTGCTACAGCCATAGGAAGGAAACTATATCAGTAGTCATTGGAAAAAGCAAGGAGATATTAATAAATTAGAATTACACAGTATTTCTCACCATAGAAAAAGTAAAGTGCAACCCAGAATAAACAAATCCTATTTCATCTTCTCCCTTAGATATTTTCTGGTCAGGTCAGATAGACATACAGACTAAGAGAAAATGGGTGCATTCTGAATGTATGTAATGTTCATTTACCATTTTTATAAGAAGGAAACATGAATTGAACATCTTCTATGTGTCAAATACTATATCTGCTGATAATGACATGCTAAGGAACTAGTTTATATGTTGAAGCAGTAAAGATAAAGAAAAGTCCACTGAGAGTGGGGAACAAGCACACATTTGAAGTATCATATGAGGTGATGTTTGGTTTAGATGCAATGATGAGATCTTCATCTAATAGTCCAGTCAAGGTACGAAATAATTTTTAAGATTTGTCCTATACTAGTACATATTGTGGGGGACAGAGGGTTTGATGGGTGGAAGGGAGTAAAATCCAACAATGTGTGTATTATATTTCAGCTTGGTTTGAAGAAACATTTTAACGTGGCTGGAAATCAAAACCTTGGAGTCTTCTCAAATATGCACATGACAACCAAGGACATAGTGTGCTGTGCTGGAGAGTTTGATATTTCACTGAAAAAAAAGTAATACAGCAGAAACTTCCAAAAATATATACATATATGAAATTGATCTAAATGAAATCACCAAAAATAATGGAGAAGACAATCCCATCTGACCATCTCGTGTCACCAAACAATGTTTCTAGTACTGGAATTGGGTTATATGTAATTGAGTTGTGGACCCATGGAATTCCCAAAAACCCCAGACTGTTGACAAGACTATAGGTTGCTCGTCACAGAATAACAGCAAGGCCCCATTGTGGAAGACAACACCTACACAGCTCATTAAACACAGAGTAGTTGAACTGGTGCCTCCAGTAGAGTTTTCACCCCTATGTTATCTTTGGTACAGGAAGACACTCTGCATTCTATCAAAAGAGAAATGTAAACACCAAGTCAGCCATAAACTCTTTATCTACAATGGTGTATTGCCTGCTAGATATACTAGGACAACGGTGGCACAAAGCTTGTGGGAGCAACCAACCATTAACTGATATGACTCAAAGCTCACTCCACAAGATGAAACCCATACCTGAAACTGTTTGGGTGACTAAGAACCTGAGGCTAGATAGCCCAAGGGCCTATGGTAAAACCAAATAATATGGATCTAAACAAAGAAAATAAAACAATGTAATGATAAAATGACTCCTAATGATAGTATGCTGTACTCAGAAACCAGTGCCACGTTCAGCCATCATCAGAGAAACTTCCTCCTGCAGCACACTATGCAAAGAATGAGGGACCTTGGGATATTCAGCACTAAATGGGGTCTACATTGAAACCCTCGGAGCTCAGAGAAGCCCCTGGAAAAAGAATCAGAAAGAGTGTCAAAGCCATATGGGGCAGAGGACACCAAGAAAACAAGGCTGTATAAATCACCATGAGCAACATTCATGAGAACTCACGGATATTGGAGCAGCATGTACAGGGCCGGCATAAATCTGTATCAGGTCCTCTGCACTTAGGTCACGGCTTCCAGTTTAGTGTTTTCATGGGATTCCTGAATGTTTGAACCAGTGAGTCTCTGATGTTTGTGGCTTCTCTTGGGCTCCTTTCCTTCTGTTGGTTTGTCTTGTCCAACTTTGATGTGATAGATTTTGTTTTATCTTATATTTTATTTTGTTATATTTTTAAAAATGAATGAGTGGATAAAAACCCAGCCACTAGGGTAAAGGTTAACAACTGAATTGTCATTTATGTTTGCTGGGAGAGGGAACATCCAGTTTTCTCAAGTGGACTAACACTGGGTAGATCAAGCTTTCCACGACAGGCCTCATATTTTGGAATAGTTAACCAACAAATAGTGGACTCCACAATTTTTTTTGTGTGTGTGCTTTCATTTGATGGTTTATTTTGTTTTGTTTCTTTAGGGGTGTTATTTTGTTTTCTTGGGTTTGAGGGGTTCTGTTGTTCTATTTGGTTTTTGTATTTTGCTGAGAAAGAATCTAAAGTTGTGTGGGTAAGAAGGGTGATAGAATTGGGAAGGACTTGGGAAATGGAATTATATAGAAAAATATGAGTAAAATGTATTTACAACTAAAAATTTTAAATAGTAAAAATATAATAAAAAGAAAAATGCAAAAAAACAGAAAAAGATGACTGTTACAATGAAAAATGATGCTATTCTCTCCTACTCAAGAATCTTTTTCATAAAGGAAGTGATAGATAAGGAAAATGAACTTAGAGAAATTTGCAGATGAATCAGTATCTTCTACAACTGACAAATGCATATTTGAGACAATCAAGTCAGAAATATTAAGGAAGAATAAAGAATTAGTATTAGGTTTGGCTCAGTGAGTATATACTAAAAGCTTCAAAGAGTTTTCTGTCCTTTAAGAAATGGGGGATGATGAAGAGAGAGGTCTTGGAAAGAATGTGGAATGATTGATAAGTGTGCATGTCCATAGACAGTGCGAAGATTCTGATGAGGTAGAAGGTCTATTCATGAGTACAAGTTTAGAAAATTTGGAATTTTGTAAAGGGTGATTGTATTGGAAAACTACCAACACAGAATTACAGAGACCATGGATATGGATGTAGAAGCTGAATGTGCTATCACATTGAGAATGTAAAAGCTGCAGTGAATCCTAGTGAAAGGGACTAGTGAAGTACTAGTGAAGAACATCATGGGTGAAGAGAGTGTAGCATGACCCCGAGTTAAGAATTAATACTTGGCTGGGCATGGTGGTACACATCTTTAATCCCAGCACCTTGGAGGCAGAGGTAGGCAGATCTCTGTGAGTTCCAGGACAGCAAGGGCTATTACACAGAGAAACCTTGTCTCAAAACAAAACAACTCCCCCAAAAGAGAATTAACATCTAATTACACAAGGGAACAAAAGTATGTCTTGTAGAGTATAATTAATTTTATTACATTGATTATATACACCCAAAAGTGATGAAAGAATTGAGAACGATGCACATTTCTTTTTAGTACCACAATGTGGACAAATAAGCACCAAAAAGAAAAAAATTAACTTCTATAAAAAACCATAAATATGGAGAAATACACATGATGTGTAGAGTATAGTAACATTTTAGATACATATTCTCTTGTTTTGTTTTCCAAAAGTATTGTAAGTATTGAAGTATTGTAAGAAATATCACATCATAGAGAAATCTGCGTTTCATTAGTCAAATACAATTATTTCCATGCATAGAGATGACTTTTTTTTTGTCAAGAGCAAAGTGAGAGGGCTAAGACTATTCTGCTTTCTCTTTGATGTTTTATAGGATATAACAAAAGATGAATGCTCAATGCTGAAGCTGCAGCTGAAAGACAGGGATGAGCTCATTGCTCACCTTCAAGCGGAGCTGGTAAGTGATTGGCTGGCACAGCTGCTTACTTTTCAGGGTTGTCTGGTATAAACCTTTATCTATTGACACTGATAGTATTATTTATATGTTTGATGAATGATTTAAAATAGGACCATCAATTTTATCAACCTTTAATAATGAAAACTGTAGTCCTTTGACAACAGGAAGAAGAGAAATGGTGTTTCACATGTGTAGCAATTTACATATTACTAGAAAATGGTGCAATCCAAAGGCTAAGGCCACATTATGCTGTGTGGTTTCTGTGTGTGTGTGTATGCTGTGTGATTTCCCTCCATATTGAAATGCCTAGAGAGAAATGTTATAATATGAAGGAATGTACTTATTAATCTTTCAGAACAAACAGATTTTACTTTCATTTCATGATCACCAAAGAAGATTTTTTTCAATACATGATGAAATTTCCAATTAATGTACAACTCTCACAAAATATAAGTGAGTGAAGTTATCATGATGGAATAACAGGAATTAAATATTTAGAACATAATAGCATATTTACTATGCAGAATTGTTATTTTCTATATGTTTCAATTTATATACATTATGAATAGCAGTTTAAAATGAATATCAGTACTCTAGAAATAAATAATATCATAGAATTATTAAGTAAGAATTAAAAGGAGAGTGCTAATTCATCAAGAGTTTTTAAGATACCATCAAAATAAATACAACACAGTAGAAAACACCCTGACATTATTAGTGTCACAAAATAAATCTTAGTTAAAAAATACTATAAAATGATTTGACAGTTGATTATATCAATATTGGTATATTATATAACTATAAAGAACAATTCAATGACATAACTGAGTTTGCAGACCAACAAGCTTCTGAGGACTACTGACATAATAGTTTGATGTCAAATCCATAGCACATTTTATGGAGTCTAAACAGCTGGCAGTAGTTTTACAGAAACTTGACCCTTATTTAGACTAGGGTTTGACAGTCACAAGCATGTCAGAATGGCTTTACAAGCCTCCAACCTATTACATTAAAATAGAATAGCATTCACAGACAAGAGGAGCATTTCCTATACTATAAGAAACATCCCATTATAGAAAAATCAGCAGCATATCAATATTACAGATAGCATCTACTATAAAATGGAAACACTATATATTTAATATATTCCTCCCAGTCAGTGGTTCTCAAAGTTCCCAATGCTGTAACCCTTAAATATAGTTCCTCATGTTGTGGTGACCCCAACTGTAAAGTTATATTGTTGCTACTTCATGACTGTAATTTTGCTACTGTTATGAATCACAATGTAAATGTCCAATATGCAACCCCTGTTGGAGTCATGACCCACAGGTTGAGAACTACTGCTCTAGGTCTATATTGTAACCAAGCTTTGTTTATAAGCCATAGAAAAATATCTTTGCATTTAAATCAAAGTATATAATATCATAATAAATATCAAGTACAGATACCTATTACCAAATGGAATAATCCATCTTAAATAACATATTCATTCACTTTGCCAGGCAGTGCTTATTTTCAATAATTAACTCAGAAAATATTATTCATTTTTCTTCTTACCATCAGTTTCTTCAAATTTAAAACATAAAATGTAAAAGTAACAGACTTTCTTTGTTGGGTAAAATGAGAAAGAAAGAAAATGCTTCCAGAGCCCATGTTACAGCTCTAATTACAATAATTTAGTTCTCTTCTCTAGAAAAAAAGGCTTGGATTTCCTGTCATCCTAAAATGACATACTCATGGGCTTTTAAAATTTCCTTTTCTTTAAACTTGAGTTGTCCAAATTGGCTACTTAGCCTTGAAATTTTCCAAAGTAATAATCAAGGCACCATTGCAATATCTGTGCTGCACAGTCGAATGTTTTAACAAAAGAGAGATGTTCCCTTTTGCAGTGAAGTTTGTCTTGATAAAGAGTATTTTAAGCAAAAAAGTGTGATGAATTGAGGAAAAAGAAATGTTAAAAAGACAAACAATTAAAACTAGGTCCAAGGAATGCATGGGGTACACAAGCGCATAGGACTCTCCAAAATGCTGCAATTTGTGGAAAATATGGACCAATGTGGTTCTGATGCTGAGAATAAGCAACTGTTTTGTTTCTATTTTGTGTATGTTTGTTTAAGACATTTCACTCTGTATCCCACCATGGCTTAGAACTCACTGTATATCCATGCTCACCTTGAACTCATGTAATTCTCATGCTTTAGTCTCCCAAGAACAGAAACTACAGGTGTTAGTGACTACAACAGGCTAGTTTGTGACAATTTGACAAAACTGAATTTAAGTTCAGAAACTAATTTAGCTGCTATTTATTATTATATAGACAAACAATATAGAATAATTTATAAGATATTGCCATTGTTGCTTTATTTCTAGACCATTGATATTATTAAAAGGAATTTGTCTACTTATATATTGCAGAACAAATTTTAAGGAAATATTCCAATAAAAACATAGCTTAAGAAAGCTTTTTTTTGTATAACCATGTATATTTAACTGAACACTGACATTCGGGCTTTTCATTCCTGTAACAAATACCTGAGAGTGAAAACAAATATAGGAGGAAAGATTTTGGCGCATGGTTTCTGTGTTTTCAGTCTATGGTCAGTTGGCTTCATTGTCTTAAGCCTATAACAGGGCAAAACGTCATGGATGAAGGAAAGATACACCCTTCAATATTACTTTCCCAGTGGCTCTCTTCCTCCATATCAGTGCACCACTCACATTGCTGCTACCTCAAATACTCTTTTCCAATTTTGAACACATCAATTGATTACATCATTCATCAGATCACACTCATCATGATGTAATCTTTCTTGGAAATATTTTCAAATACGCCTAGCCATGTACTTAACTAACCTCCTAGGTATCTCCCAATCTAATACTATCAACAATCAGGATTAATTGTCACACTCACCTTGGTAGTTTCACCTGTTGTGAGGGGTTAATCAGTAGTCAGTTAGGGTTGGTACAGAGAGAAAATTGTAAATCCTCTTTTCCAGCAGTCTTGCCAACAGCCATCGTTGCAACATTTTCTCAACACTATCATTGTCATGCTACTATAACTGGTTGTTCTGTGTGCTAAAGGCTTTCAACAGCATCTTCCACCTCCCCATTCTATGTCAGGAGCAGTCTCCATGCATTTCTAGATGTCTGATGTATATTAAAGTTTTGAGCATTTGAGCAAAATTACTTTAGAGGTACCATATTAATTTTCAGTCCATCAGTGAAATTGTGTAAAATAAACATATGCATCCAGATACCTGGTGAGCTGGAATCCTACAAGAGAGATAGCCTTTCCTTATATATGTTGTAGTTAAGTGTGAGAAAGCTAATTTCTCATAGTCCTGTCTGGTAGGGTGTCTGAGATTAGAGTACCAGCCTGGGTTGGTGCCAGTGAGGACTGCCCCTGGTTGATGGATAGCTAACTTCTCACTGCATACACAGGAAGGATAACAAGCTCTGTGGGCACTCCATCTAATCAATCTGAGGGCCCCACCCTATGATGTTATCTAATTACAGCCACCTTCCAGTGTTCTGTCTTCCAAGGGGACTTATTGTGTGAATAGAGGAAGGCACAGTTTAGACCAGACCACCTAAGTTGTGCTCCTGTTTATTTATTGTTATCAAACAGCATTGCATCCAGTAAGTTCTACTAGATATTTCATGTAGTATCTTCATTTTTCTTCTCCATGATTTCAGAATTATTACCATAATTGTACACTCCTTGCTTGCTGAGTTGGTAGACTCTATAAAGCATGAAGATGCTACAAAATTCAAAATAATCATTTGATTTTACATTATACATTCGTACTTTGAGGAAAGCATCAAATTCATTAACTGGATTCCTAATGTGAATATGTTTTCTATCCAAATTTTCAATTTATTCCTTTCTGTGTAAAAAAGGGAGGCAATAAGCAATTAGTCCTCTCAGGAACAATTTCAAGGAGTCTGATATTAGCGCCTATGAAATTTTCATGCATTACTTACTTTTATGAGCTTTATTGGTTTTTGACAGATAAAAGTAATGATTTACACTGTTTTATGATGTCCAAGGGAACTTTAAATGGTAAAATATCAGCTTTTACTGAGGTTATATACATCATAGGGCAACTAATTAGAAGGAAAAAAAGGAGTTACACACTATGGCCCCTGGTGTTAGAGCAGAAAGGAACTGGTTGGCAGTGGAAGCATCTGCCCCCAGCTGTTTCACCCCACAGCAGAGCCATCATGCTCTGCCAGAAGCACATCAAAGGGCGGAGGGCAAGGCTGTTATTACAGTCGGGCCTCTTACATAGCAGTGCTTTTTGTTGACCATGAGGATAAGTGGCTTACAAGAGGAAGGTTTTGTTTCTGTATCTCTCTGCCTCCTTCCCTCTGGTCATCTTGTCCTTTCCCTTCTGTCTGTACCATCTTATATCCATCTTCACCCTCTCTCTCTCTCTCTCTCTGCAAAGGCCATATGAACATACCCGGGGAAGATAGTTGTCTGCAAGCCAGCAAGGGACACTTGTGAAATCCCAACTCTGCTAGCTAGTGGTCTCAGATCACAAGGTTCAGAACCGTGAGTGACTAAGACACTGCTTTAAAGCCAACCAGCCTGCTCTGCATTTGTCATGGGAGCCTGAGCAAACTCATACAGTGCCATGTCTGAGTCTAGATTTTTTTTCCTGATCATGGTCCATTTAGATTGATTCATATTTTTCCCCATGGTTTATCTAGGTCATTTTATCATTTGTCTTCTGAAATGCTGAACAGTATTCAGAAATTGTATTCAACCCATGCAAGTTTTCCTTCAAGTATGTGTTTTCCAACTAGAAATATTATTTTTATAATTTGCTTCCTTAATCTGCTCTTCAAATGTTTGTTTTCTATCAGTGTTAAGTTTTCATTTTGACATATTTCTTTTAGCAGTGTCCTTAGATACCAGTTTGGTCTTCAATCATAACTATATGCTAATGGTTAATGATTATTCAAATTTCCATATCATGTTTTAAACAGAGGAA